CCCTCCCTCCCTCCCTCCCTCCCTCCCTCCCTCCCTCCTTCCTTCCTTCCTTCCTTCCTTCCTTCCTTCCTTCCTTCCTTCCTTCCTTCCTTCCTTCGTTTTAAACATGAGCCCTAAACTCAGTCCTCTTGCTCACAAGGCAAATGCTTTGTCTCCCCAGCCCTCTCCATTAAACAAACAAACAAACTCTAAACTTAAACACGGTGCCAAAACAACGTTGCTCCCCTCTCTCTTAGGGAACAGATGTTTTTCAAAAAGGCTTTCAGATTGCAGAGAGCTCATGTAAGAGTGGGGTCAGCGTGCTGCTGGAGACCAAATCGGGGAGACTACACAGGCCCCACACCTACTGCTCCTAGCCAGAGCCTCGGCAGTCCTTGGGAGATGTCATGTCACGGGCGCGATGATCTCAGAGCTGAATGAGCCTGCGGAGGCTCCCAGCTCAGTGAGCAGTCAGTCCTTACAGTGGGCTGAGCACTTACACCAGGACCTCTCCCCTTCACGCCCACTTCCCCCAGGCCATTGCACACAGCTGCACCTGCTGCACGGGTGATGATGTGACTAGAGTCTGTCACCATCATTGTGTGTGGCATCCCTCCACCCCTTCGTGAACTCTGGGGCTGTGTTCTCAGTTTGCATATTGTAGACTCTGGCAGTGTCTAGCATTGTGCCCAGCCCTAATAAATAGTCATCATATAAATAAAGCCATGGGTCACCCCTCCTGATCACTTCTGCTCATGGACACTCATCTCTGTCTGTGCTCTCCCTGAAGACAATGGTTTGCTCATTTCTGAAATCTTCGCACATGGTAAGGGTCCAGTTAGTAGGTGTTATGACCTCTTCCAAAACCATGAACTGAGACCCAGGGTCCATTGGTTCTGATCCTGCTTCTGCCATTAACTTAGTTTCATCCTGCGAGGGGGCACAATGGAGTCAGCCCCGTTCTGACAATCTAATGACACCGTTGCTACAGCAACAAACTAAGAGAAAGGAGAGCAAGCTATTGTACTGAGGGTTGACAAAATTTGGGGACATGGGCATTGCTTTCCATTTTCTGTATGTCCCAAAGTCTTGGGGCCCGGGTATGACAGGCACTTAGTGAACGTTCTTAGAATAAGCAGATGATTGGTTATTTCATCCTATGCGGCCTTGGCAAGCTTCCTTTTACAGGGCCTTAGTTTCCCTATGTGAGGAATGAAGAGGGAACAGGGACTGTATCACTATTTCTTGGTGTGGTAAGGACAGAGGACATCACCAGTCCATAAAGATGCTGGGAATTTGTGGACCCTCTTAGAAGGGCATGCTGGGCCGTGGGTGACTTCCTCAGTGTCTACAAACTCACAAAGGCTTCCTTGGACAGGCAGGGATCTCTGTGTGTTCTTTTGGCTCTCTGGGCTGCTCTGTCCCATTCCTTCAAGCCACTCCCACCCCCAAATGGAGCATTTCACTAAGGTTTCTGCAAGACTCCTTTTCCTCTAGCCTGAGATGAGCTGGGGAAGGCTGGGGGCGGGGCAAGTCTATTAATATCCCTTTCTCAGCTGATTAACTCTCCATTAATTTTCACTCTGCTTCTAAGCCGAGCAGGGGGAGCAAGCTAATGGGCCCAGGCAGGATGAGGTGGCCAGCTCCAGTGATATCGAAAGGCGCCCATAGGGCAGCCAGGGGGCCTGGCAGGAGCCACAGCAGTGTGGGGAAGGTGGCCCTTCTCCTAACCCCACCCAGCCATTCCAGAGCTAGGCAGCTCAGGGAGAGGGGTCAAGGAACAGGTCTTTTGTTAGTCTCTGTGGCTTCCATTCAGCCTCGTCTCTGCCATTGTGTGCTCCTCTCCACCCCAGGCCTGTGCTCGGTGAGTTAGGGCTCTCGCATCCGTGGCCCTGCCCTGCGACGTGACTTTGGCAGGCCTTTGTTCGGGGGGCTTCAGCCCACCTGTGGAAAGAATGACAGGCGGGCTTCCCAAGGAGCCCTAGCTGTAACCGGTTGAGGTTGTTGCCTAGAGCCCGCCTGTGTCACCAGGGCTCTGACAGGAAGTCGTCCATGCAGCAGATGAGCTAGAACACGCATACTGCTTGTCTGACGCCCCGGCCACTGGAAAGCCCTTACATTCTGTTATGTGAGATAATTTATGGCACCCTGGGAATTCTCATTCCTCCCAGCACTGATGACGTCATTCCGAGTGACTAGAACCCAAGAAACTGAAGTCAGCCTGTCTCCCTGTTGCTCCCGATCGGTTTCCTTCGCTCGGCAATTTTGCTGCTTCTCAGACCCCAGACTTGGAACTAGGAGAGGCCCTGGGGTTCTGTCTCCCCTTGTGCAGATTCAGGGCCACCCTGGTGGCAGAGTTCCGTGTGGTCATCCCCTAAATATCACTGGGTCCAAGTCCCAGGTTCTTAATTCCCCATCGAGTTAGCAAGTGTTCTGGAAATAGAGCATTGTGAAGTCTTGCCTGAGGATTGGGGGAGTCTTTCGGGTGGGGGGTCAGTCACTTGAATCCCCATTGCTTCAGAGTCCACAGAGCCCTGATTCAGATCCACTAACAACTTCTTTTGGCTTTTTTTTTTTTATTCTTAGCTCTGTTCTAAAAATTACAAACACGTTTATTCTCCTCTCCCTGAGTCCCCGTTTGAGTTACTCAGCTGCTGCCCTGACTGTAAGCTTATAGCCTAAACAGATTCAGTGCAGCCGAAAGGCCATCACGAGATGTGTATTTCAGATGAACTTCCTGAAGAAAAGATAAACAGCTAGGCCCGGGATGGGAAAGCGTGCCTCAGAAGGGAGCATGTGACAGCATGTGCTCCTGCCAGCACAGACCCAGGGAATCAGGGTTTCTGACTGCTTGTCCTAATCTAGAAGCAGTGTGGTCTGTGGCCCCAGCCTCAAGCTTGGGACCCAGGCGAGGCAACTCAGGGGTTGGAGAGGGCAGGGAAGGCGGGGTTCTGGTACATCCATGCACCAGTTTTCTCTGCAAAATGGAGATTAGAATCATGCTCCCCTCAAAAGGGTGTTGTGTGAGCTTCTAGATGCTACCGACAGAGCTTTCCAGTTCCTCTCCAAGCCTAGGCCATTACCCTAGGTCTCCCCTTAGCCTGAGCCTTGTTTTCTCAGCCTTTTGCTTTAAGTGTTGGTTGTTCAGAGAAAGTTCCTGGCCACTCTAGGCAGCCTGCAATCTTCTTGGATTTGTTGTTGTTGTTGTTGCTGTTGCTTGTTTTGTTTGCTTGTTAGTTTGTTTAGCTATCCCAGCATCCCCTGGCTTCCTCCAGCCCCTTTCCAGCTCTGAAAGGTACTCCCTTGTTCTCCTGTCCAACTCCACTCATCAGCAAAAGCCAGACTCTAGGAGGGCAGGGGTGTGGTGTTCTGGGTGTGCTGGATGCGCACACCCTGTGATGGGAAGGGAAGGAAGGGTGTGAGGTGGGGGCTGACTCCCGTTGCTGTCACTGGAATGGTGGCTGCTGTGGAATATTTGAAGATGTGTTACGTTCATTTATGCTGTGGAATGTTTGTTTAATGATTCAAGGATGGGTTGCATTCTTTTTGTCTGGTTTTGTTTTTTCAAGACAGGGTTTCTCTGTGTCACAGCCCTAGCTGTCCTGGAACTCGCTCTGTAGACCAGGCTGGCCTCAAATTCACAGAGATCCGCCTGCCTCTGCCTCCCAGAGTGCTGCGATTAAAGGCGTGCGCCATCACTGCCCAGATGTGTGGCATTCTTTAATGCTGCGTTTGTTTATCTCTGTGAAGATGTGTTGCTTTGCCTGTCTGAAACACCTGATTGGTCTAATAAAGACCTGAGTGGCCAATGGCTAGGCAGGAAAGATAAATAGATGAGACTACCAGGCAGAGAGAATAAATAGAGGAACAAGAGGGAGGAGCTAGAAAAGGAGAAGGAGAGGACCCCAGGAGCCAACCACTCAGCCACACTGCTACAGAGTAAGAAGGAAAAAAGGGAATAGAGAATAGAGAATAAAGTGTAAGCCTGGAGGCAAAAGGTAGACAGAATAATTTAAGTTTTAAAAAAAAGCTGGCTAGAAAAAATGCCTGTGCAGTGGTGGCACACGCCTTTAATCCCAGCACTCGGGAGGCAGAGGCAGACAGAGCTCTGTGAGTTTGAGGCCAGCCTGGTCTACAAGAGCAAGTTCCAGGACAGGCACCAAAGCTACACAGAGAAAACCTATCTCTAAAAACAAAAACAAAATAAGTTAAGCTAAGGCCAGGCATTCATAAGAAAACCAACAGTAGGTGACGGTATAGTTAGCAGGTATAGCATGGCAAGGTTTGTGTCAGGTACTGCATTAAGCACCTTACCTGTGACCACCCCCGCACCAGCTCCCCCTCGCCCCCCACTCCTCAATAAGAACTCCTTGGAGTGAGTCCTGTCTGGTATCTATGTGGCAGGTGAGGGCTAACTTACCCAAGAACCCACAGTTGGTAAGTGTGGTCTCTGTGAGTCGGCAGCTTCAGAGCCCAGCACCCGGGCCTCTCCCTGAGCGAGCCAAGAGAACAAGCCCCAGGACCCCATTGAAAGAAAGCCCAAGCAGGCTTCCAGTGTTGTAGTTGTGATATCCACAGTTGGGCTCTGCCCAGTCCAGGCCTCCAGGGTCAAGGGGCTGAGACCCTGCTGCCAGTGATGGAGAGGACCCGAGTCTCTCACAGAAGAGGCAGGTATTTTCAGGTAGGCTGCCTTCTGCCCAGGTCACAGCTCAAGGAGCAGCAGAGCCAGGACTGAGACTCCAGGCAAGGCCCTTCCCATAGCCTGCTTATCAAAGTCTGCGGTTCTCGGAGCTGACAACCTCTTTACTGAGTTTGTGATGTTCCAGGAATATGGAACACATTTGTCGGGTTAAGGGGTGGCAAGAAGGCAGTGGTGGTTTATCGGGGTACACAGAACAGCTGAGTCTCCCACAGCGGCTAACCCCCCCCCCCCGTTGTCTCTTCCATCCAGATTGATAGTGAGAATGAAGCTCTCTTGGCTGCGCTCACCAAGACCCTGGATGACATCCCCGAAGACGATGTGGGGCTGGCTGCTTTCCCAGGGCTGGATGAAGGAGACACACCATCCTGTGACCCAGCTTCACCTGCCCCCTTATCTGCGCCCCCCAGCCCCGCCCTGGAGAGGCTTCTGTCCCCAGCGTCTGAAGTGGATGAGCTTTCTATGGTGAGGACTGTAGCCTCGGGCTGCTGTCTGTCAGTTCCAGCTCAGTCAGGGTCCCTGAGCGCCAGCACATGGCTTCAGCCGAGAGCCTGGAGTGCGAGGTCTCGCCGGGCCTTCACCCTTCCTGCCTGGACAGTGGCGTTAGGCTTGGTTCTATTTCTGTTTTAAACCTTAAAATTACACACAAACATTTTCACGGCGATAGCACACAGAGGAGAAAAACCCAAGCAGGAAACAGAAACGTGGACAGTTAAAAGCAAAACCTTCCTAGCCCTCTCACAATTGCCTTCCCCAGAGGTAACCATGGTTACTGATCTGTTACATGACTTTCCTCGTCACCTTTTTTTTTTTTTTTTTTTTTTTTCCCCGAACTACAAAACCAGCAGAGCCTACGTTATAAACTGCTCTGCACCTTTCTCCCTCGGAGCAGTGTGTTCTGGAAAGCCTTCAGATGAGGGTGTGGGGCTTTGCCTCCTCCTGGGTGGCTGTGTGGTACTTCCAGGTAAGGATGTGCCATCATGTAATGGTTCCCCTTTTGACTGATGGACATCTGTTGTCGACCGCTCCATTGCCACTCACAGTACTGAAGTCATTGGTTGCCCCGTGTGAGTCGGTAAATTCTAGAAATGCAAATTCTGGTTCATTATGCTTTGAAGAGGTCGTGCCCGTTTTCACACCAACAAGTGTAAATTAAATGTATGTGGAGATGTGGCAGTAGAGACCAGCGCTGACTGGTCTTGCAAGGGTCTGGACCTCCCAACTTATTGAGGACACTTGCCTTGGACTCTGGCTCAGGCTACCAAAGCTTTGTATGAATGCGGGGCTTCCTTCTACTTTCTGTAACTGCCACTTCTAGTGTTGCTGAGACTCACCTGGAGATCTAGAGCCTGTCAGACCTGGAGGGCTCTCAGATCCTGGAATGGCCCTCCATGAGCATCCAGTTCTGCTCTGGGGAAAGTAAGACCTGGGGGAGGAGTCTCATGGCAGGTCGGCATGCCAACCAAGTTAGACCCTGCGTGTACTGACTTGTGCACGAGGGTGCCATACCTTCTCTTCTGCAGCCTTTGGGGCCCAGGGCACTGGGGGGAACATTTGCCAAGTATCTGCTATGTTCCAATACATACTGTGTTCCAGCTCCCATTATGGCTTCCTCTTGTGGGGTCCCGCAGACTTCCAGACTGAAAGAGACTGCTTTGATTTGAATTTCAGCCTTCCATTGAGAGCTTGTGGGTCCTCAGGCACACACCCTATCAATGACTCAGCTTTCTGATCCCTGGGAGTAGATAATAGGGCCCGGGTCAAAGGCTGTCGGGAGAATTACAGTGGGTAATACCGGTCAATATTTAGAACAGTGCCTAACGTATAGGCCCACCTAAGACACACTGGCTGAGTCAGAGCCTGACTAGGCCATTAGTAGGAAGAATTCTCAGTGTTGTTTCTTACCAGGCCACTGCAGGAAACTTTGTGAAGGGAGAGAGCAACCCCTGCTGGTCACAGGTTGTCCTAGTCCTGAGCCTTCAATTCTGCCTACTTTGCATACTGGTTGCCCGATTGATTCTGTTTTCCCACACTGGGTTAGGCTTATGGAAAGCAGACTAAATGTCAAGTCTTCCGGCATAATAATAGTTCTGGCGGGGGGGGGGGGCAGAGAAGTCACACAGACCCTAGGCCTTGCCTTGAATTCCAGAGAACTTGCCTGTATGGACTTGGGCGACTAGTGAGCCTCTCTTGTAGATCCGCATATCATGAGGTCAGTAGTGTCTCTCAGGGTCAGCGTTTGGACTCTCAGAGGTGTTTTTAAAAAAGTGTCAGATCCAGTGGTTTTGGGTGCGCCCCCCTCCCCCGCCCCTTGTATCAGGGCAGAGAAGAAAATAGGTTGCTTGGGGTGTTGCCTGCAATGGGGCTGAAGTGACTAGAACTAGATCTTGTCCCTGTGGCCCGGGGTGCAGAGTGGTACGTGTGTGCATGCGTGTGTACACACGAGCGCGGTGTTTGCAGTCTAGGTAATCTCTAGCTACTCAGAGTTCAGGTGTCGTCTTTCTCTAACTCTTGGGTCTTTGGGGCTCTCCGCTGGGGTGCTAGGAAGGCATGCTCCCCAGGAGGCACCTGGTGCTATCGTACAAGACACTTCTTGCCTTGTTCTCACCCTTGGCCGTGGTGGAGGAGCCTGTTTTTCTTCAGCCTCTGCACTCTCAAGGTGGTTGAACTGTGCGCCTGCCAGCGGGAGAGCTTTGACAGTATTTCAAAAGCTGTCTGAGGGCTAGAGGGTAGCTCAGTAGGTGGAGTGCTTGCCCGGCACATAGGAAGCCCATAAAACTGGGTGTGATGGTTTATGCAGGCCTGAAATCTCAGCATGTAGAAGGTAGAGGCAGGAAGTTCAAGTCACCCTTGACTATAAAGTTTGGGGCCAGCCTGGGATACACGTGACCCTGTGCAAACTAAACCTTAATCTTATGATTTTACTAATAAAGACTTGGGAGTCAGATGCTGAGTTGAAAACCTGCTAGTTCAGAGAGGCCAGGAGCTGATCTTCCTCCTTAGCTGACGACGTCCCAGAAAGAGAACTTCTCTTTTGCCATGCCAAACCAAAAAGGCCGCCAAACTCAAAGTCTCACCCTACTACTTCCTGTGCATTTCTCTATTTGTTTTCCTGACTCCCTCTTGCTCTCTATGGCCACTTCCTGGCAACTAGTTGCTGGTTCCGGCTCTTGACCCAAGGTTGATTGTACTTACTTAGTGTAATCTCGGGGTTTACAGTGTGCTCAGGTATCCCAACAACACAGCCCCCACACGCATGCAGATGAAAAAAATAGCTGAAGAAAGGACAAACTAAAATTTAGCATGCTTTTACTTGTATAGAAGCAGTTGAGTGTGTTGGAGGTAACATGCACCGTGGTGTGTGTGTGTGTGTGTGTGTGTGTGTGTGTGTGTGTATCCTTGTATGATTAAAAGCCCACCTCATGAAGGCTCACAAGAGAGTAATGGAAGTTGCCTCTAGAGAAAGGACCTTGAGAAGGAAGGAGATTTGCTTTTAATTGTCTACCTTTTAGTATTTCACACACACACACACACACACCATATATGAGCACTGTGTATTTAGTTGAAGAAATAAATTTTTAAGTGTCGTGGACAGAGGAGAACCTATATTGAGCATCGTTTTGGTCTCTAACCTCTCCATCTGCGTGTCTATGTGTGCATACATGTCTGTCTATTACAGGCACATGGAATGAACTGACATTGTCCTCACAGTGAAATGAGCAGGCAGCACCCAGACCTGCTCTCCTGGGTCACTAACTTTGCTCTCTGTGGAATAATGGTGTTTGGGAGTTTGGTAGACATCAATTTGTTTTCTGCATTACCTAGCTCCTTGGGGGTCTCTGGCCCTGGCCAGGGCATAGTCGGCTGGCATGTGGTGCCCTGTGTCTCGGAGTGTGCTTGGCCCTAGCCTCTCCCCCTCTTCCCCTCTTCCCAGCTGCAGAAGCTCCTCCTGACCACATCCTCCCCAACAGCAAGCTCTGACGCTCTGAAGGAGGAGGCCACCTGGTCCCAGGCCAGCCTCAGGTCCAGAAGCCAGCGGCCTTGTGTCAAGGTATTTCTGCATACGCTCAGAGATGACCTGGGCCCCCAGGTGGCTGTCACCCATGGCTAGGAGTGGCAGATTCAGTCTACCTGAGTTTCTCACACAGCCCTGACTGAGGCAAAATCCTGGGTACTACTTCTTGGAAGCAGCATAGTTGGAGGCTCTGAAAAGGACCCTGTACTTTCCCACACTCGAGTGTTTTGACCTGTGAGGTTTGACACAGATCTTGGCACACACTAGAGCAGGGGACAGATGGGAACAGGATCATCACTGGCTGTAGAGGTCATTGTCCATTTCATACTGAGGTTTTCGGATTTCTTTTCTGAGGAGCTGCTGGCCACTTTAAAACTTGGCGTACAAAAGATGACACCCTTACCTGTCCTCACCCTATTCTTTTTTTTTTTGAAGGATCTGCAGAGGCTCCAAGGTTGGGAGCCCTGTAGAAGTCTGGTGGCCACTTTCTTCCTCAGCAATTCAGTTTGCCAGGTACCAGCCCTGCTGGAGACTGGGGGTGAAGTGAAGGAACAGGCCATTCCCACGGTCCTGAGAAAAGATGCTGGGCCTGCTGGCTTCCAGAACAGGCAGAGGGAGACGCATTGCTCTCCTCCCTGCTCATCGTGGCCTATTTCCTTCTCCAGGCGGATGGTGTCCAGGACAAGAAGATCCCCATGCTGCGGTCTCAGAGTCGGCCTTGTACAGAACTGCATAAGCACCTCACCTCGGTGCTGCCCTGCCCCAAAGTGAAAACCCCAACCCCACGCCCAAGTACTCAGCTCCTCTCCAAGGAGGATGAGGAGGTGGGGGAGGATTGCCCGAGCCCCTGGCCAGCTCCAGCCTCTCCCCAAGACTCCCTAGCACAGGACAGGGCTAGCCCCAGCTGTGCCCAGGCTCCCCAGGAGGATGTGAGGTCCATGGTACAACTCATTCGCTACATGCACACCTACTGCTTGCCCCAGAGGAAGCTGCCCCAATGGGCCTCAGAGCTGGTCTCCCAGCCCTGCAGCAGCCCCTCCAGGCAGGTCCCACCCCGGTCCCGGCATCCCCCCAAAGCCACCTGGACTGAGTTCTCTATCCTAAGGGAACTTCTGGCTCAAGATGTCCTCTGTGATGTCAGCAAGCCCTACCGCCTGGCCACGCCTGTCTATGCTTCCCTCACACCCCAGTCCAGGCCCAAGCCCCCCAAAGACAATCAGCCCTCCCCTGCCCACTCTGCCATGGCAGAAGAGGTGAGAATCACAGCTTCCCCTAAGAGCACTGGGCCTAGACCCAGCCTGCGCCCTCTGAGGCTGGAGGTGAAGCCGGATGTCAGTCAACCTACCAGGCAAAAGCAGGAGGAAGATGAGGAAGAAGAAGAAGAGGAGGAGGAGGAAGAAAAAGAGGAGGAGGAAGAAGAGTGGGGCAGGAAGAGACCAGGCCGTGGCCTGCCATGGACCAAACTAGGGAGGAAACTGGACAGCTCTGTGTGCCCCGTGCGGCGTTCCAGGAGACTGAATCCAGAGCTGGGCCCCTGGCTAACATACACTGATGAGCCCCTAGGTGCTCTGCCTTCGATGTGCCTGGCTACAGAGACCCACAACCTGGAGGAGGAACTGGGCAGCCTCACAGATGATAGTCAAGACCAGCAGCTCCCCCAGGGATGCCAGATCCCAGTCCTGGAAAGCCCCTGTGAGAGTGGGTGTGGGGACACAGATGAGGACCCAAGCTGCCCACGGCCCCCTTCCAGAGGTAGTCTGTGGTCCACAAGAAAGGGTGGGGTGGGCGTAGCATCCCCACTGGGAGCTGGGATCTCTGTATTCAAGTCCTCAGTTTTATGTATTAGATGAGGTTCCGTCTGCTCTCCACTGCCCTTTCTGTACAATGGGGTATTGGGCAGATCTTCTACACCTGCTCTTCGAGATTTTCATGCCTATCAAAGCAATGCCTAGTGAACAAAGAACAGGAGGCCTGCCTCCTTGGGGATAGGGAAGAAGGTCATTTAAATAGTAAACCAAGCTAGGCATGTTGATAAATACAGTACTTAGGCAGGGGCAAGAAGACAGAGTTTGAAACCAGCCTGGGCTACATATGCAGATCTGTTCCAAATAGAAAGCAGAGACTGAGGACCTAGGCTCAGAGCTGTTTAGTGAAAGACCCCTCTCCAGAACCATCTAGAATCACAGCTTGGGCCCTGGGGCCTCATGCTCAGAATGCCTGGCCATTGTTTGGCCAGCAAGGGTTGCCTAGTCCATCCCTTATTTCTGCAAAGAAAGGAGATCTTCTGATTGGGACCCAGCAATGCAAAGTGTATTTGAATTGCGCCTGACCATTCCCCTAGATGGCCAAGGCCATGTGTCATGTAAAAGAGCAGCTGTGCATGGTGCCCCTGGAAATGTGAGGACCCCCCCACACACACACAGGGGAGAGTGTTCATGGTGATGTGTATGGGGAGTCTTATCCCTTATTCTTTCTTTTTTCTCTTTTATGTCTTTTCAGACTCCCCCAGGTGCCTCATGCTGGCCTTGTCACAAAGGTAGATTTTTTTTTTAAAAGAAATTACTGGTACATTATTCTGTGAGATTAAGATGTATGCATTTGGGTGGGAGGTCATCAGCCCCCGAGCCCCGCCCTGATCGCCATCTCGAGCCCTCAAGAGCCAGACTCCTTCCAAATGGAGCGTGTTTTAAGGAGGTAGCCTCCTCAAGCTGAGAGGAAAGATGAAGGGTCAACCCGTTTCATAAGCTGTTGTCTCCAGGACTCTGAAGAGTCTTCTTTGGAGTGGGGGTACTGGAGGCTGCCAATGCTGTCAGATAGGAGCAAGTCCCTTCCCTTTCTGGGTCTCAGTTGCTCCATCTATAAAGCAAGGAATCTATACCAGTTTTTGCCTATACTTCCCCCAAACCGCAGCTTGAGTTTCCTTAACAGCCAGGATAGGGCCCCTCAGCAAGTTCTCTCTAGGCCCCTTTCTGTGACAGAACCAGGGTCTATCATTGAGTCCTTTGCTCCCCCCAAAAGTCTAGGGCTTTGGAAGCCTCCTACTGACCAGTCTCTTCCCTTTCTGTCCCTCTGCCTCTACCAGCGACCCTCTTGGCAAGAAGAGCTATGAGGAGTCCTTGACGGTGGAGCTTTGTGGCACGGCAGGTGAGCTAGGGATTCGGCTGGTGGGGTGCCTGTGGGGAGCTGGCAAGGCCCTGGGGAGGAGCACTTCTGACCTCTGCCTCATGAGCTACCTACCCTAGCATTGAGATGCATGGGGAGCATGCTGGGAGGAGGGTCAAGGCCCAGGGCCAGCCCTTCCACTGCTGGTACCAGCAGCAGAGGTGATGCTGAGGTCAGGAAACATAGACACAGCTCTGGAGGAGACTGCAGTCTGGTGAGGCTAACCCCTCAGGAGCATGGTTTGCCATGTGCTCGTTTCAAAGTATGAGCAGAAACTCTGCTGACATAAGAGGGCCAGTGTGGCCTGGTCAGACTGTGGTGTACTCAGCACAGGGGGCCACTGAAGGGTTGAAGACCCAACAAGCATGAGAAGACAAACAAAGAAGGGTGTTCTTAGCCAAAGAATTGGTGTAAGTAAAGGTGTGACAGAACAGAAATACAGGGTATAGTTGTGGTCCCCTGTCTAGCCAAAAGGAACAAGTGGGGATGAAGAAAGAGCATCCCCAAAGGACCAAAACATAGAGGTGCCTGGTGTCTACCTTATAGGCTTTGGAAGAGAGAAAGGAGTCGGCATTTTAGTAAGTCCCTGAGGTGCACTGGGAAGAACAGACGACAGAGGCAGAGCCAGTAGCATCAGGGACACTGAGGATGTGGTCTTACCAGTGGTACCTGCCTGTTCCGTGCTGGGGTACTCCTGGGGCAGGGCTCTTTACACAATTAGCTGTAAGGCAAGGACAGATATCTCTGACCTGGACACCTTAGCTGCCATTGCCAAGTCTCAAAGGGATGGCCGATGCCTCTCATCCTAAGAACAGGAGGACTCTAGGCCTGTATACAGGCTTAGGCGTGGTGACCAGTTAGTGACGAATGCCATCCACCTGTAGGAATGTTGTAGCAGGCAGCCACTTGTTTGTCCTCTCAAACGGAGCTCTTACTGTCCTCTGAGGAGACCTGCCATTCATTCCCTCACCTGTCTCTCCTCTTGCCTGGGTAGGACTCACTCCACCCACCACACCTCCATATAAGCCCATGGAGGAGGACCCCTTCAAGCCGGACACCAAGCACAGCCCAGGCCAAGGCACAGCTCCCAGCCTCCCCTCCCCTGAGGCTCTTCAGCTCCCAGCCACCCCAGGGGCCTCCCACAAGCTGCCCAAGAGGCACCCTGAGCGAAGTGAGCTCCTGTCCCACCTGCAGCATGCCACGGCCCAGCCGGTGTCCCAGGCTGGGCAGAAGCGCCCCTTCTCCTGCTCCTTTGGAGACCACGATTACTGCCAGGTGCTCAGGCCAGAGGCTGCCCTGCAGAGGAAGGTGCTGCGGTCCTGGGAGCCGGTTGGGGTCCATCGTGATGACTGGCCCCAGCAGGGTGCCTCCCTGCCGACTGAATCAAAGACCCCTAGGAGGGAGGCAGAGCAGAGCTGTGACTCTACCCCTAAGGACAGCATGCAGCTGAGAGACCATGAGATCCGTGCCAGCCTCACAAAGCACTTTGGGCTGCTGGAGACCGCTCTGGAGGACGAAGACCTGGCTTCATGTAAAAGCCCCGAGTACGACACCGTGTTTGAGGACGGCAGCAGCAGCAGTGGCGAGAGCAGCTTCCTGCTGGAGGAGGAAGAGGAGGGCGGGGAGGAGGAGGATGAAGGAGAGGACTCGGGGGTCAGCCCTCCCTGCTCTGACCACTGCCCCTACCAGAGCCCACCCAGTAAGGCCAGCCGGCAGCTCTGTTCCCGCAGCCGCTCCAGTTCTGGTTCCTCGTCCTGTAGCTCCTGGTCACCAGCCACCCGGAAGAGCTTCAGGTATGCTTGGTGACCCTGGGGAGATGGGTACCTGAGCAGCCACTAGGTGCCAGAGGGGGAGAACCCTAGGAATTTGCTTTGAAACTGGGGTTGCATCTTCATGTGAGGTCCCAGCCCTAGTCAGAAGCCCATAAGATGGGCTCCTCAAGCACCAGGCTGTCTGGACCAAGTCAAGGCTGGCAGGGTCTGTTGCAAAGGAAGAATCCTTACCTTCTGGCCACCTGCCGCTTTAGGTCCTAATGACCCTGAGCCTTGTTTTCTGCTTCGTATTCGTCAAGAGATTTTTTTTAAAATACAAACACACACAGCCACATAGTTAAAAAGCAACTTGTGGTTAATGTGTTAAAGAAGAGTGGGTGTAATTTCAGCCTATGCTCTGAAAAGCACCCCACTGAAAGCAGTGCTGAAGTTTATCTCCAGCTTGGCCTTGCATTATTTGCTGCTGTGAGCGGACCCTTAAAGACCCATGGGAGCCATGGAGCATTGGGAGCCCTTTTAAGCATCCTGTCTTTGAGCCCTGGACCTGGAAAGGGGTTTCTATTGCCGTGATAAAACACAACAAGCCAGGCGGTGGTGGATGCACGCCTTTAATCCCAGCCCTTGGAAGGCAGAAGCAGGCAGATCTCTGTGAGTTTGAGGCCAACTTGGTCTACAAAGTAAGTTCCAGGACGGCCAGGGCTGTTACACAGACGAATCTTATCTCAAAAAACCAAACCAACCAAACAAACAAAACAAAAACACCATGACAGGAAGCAACTGGGAGAGAAGTACGGGTTTAGTTCATTTTCCAACTCTGGTCACACTCCATCACCGAGAGGAATCAAGAATTCAAGGCAAGAACCTTGAATTTGGCAGATTTGGGGGAGAGCAGCTCCTACTTGCTTTGATCACAGCTGGTAATGGGACCAGCTTTGTCTTTGGGAGGCTCTCAGCTCTGTGCTTAATGTTGCCTGGGTGGCCACTAGATGGTACTCTTCAGCCTGGAGCAGAGCTATGGAGTTGATGAGGGTGTGGGTGGATTTGTTAAGATGCTGCTGCTGCTTCAGGGGTATGCCGAGTATCTGAGTCTGTGGGTGTGGCTAATTTGCCTTTCTAACAAGCTTTCAAATTCTGAGGTCAGAATTCAGACATAGATGCCTTTCCTTAGATTCAGTTTTATGTGCACACATCTCTACCGGCTACTCTTAGCTCTTCGAGGACCCCAAGAAAGCTAAAGCCATTCTCCTCATCCAACTACATTTTAGAGGGTTCACAAAGAACGTCCCGCAAACTGGTGAGAAGAAGTATTGAGTTTAGCGTTAGCTACAGATGGCTTCCCCAAAGTTTCGCTTATAAGCCGCCAGCACAGTGGTCTCACAAAACCCTTCAAGGCTTGCTAGCAGGTTCTTTTATTCTTTCCTGAGAGTCTGCCAAAACGTCCCTTCACCCTGAAGGTTTGTTCCTAATGCCACCGAAGTTTCCCCAGTGTTGAACCCATCTACCAGGGCAGCCCCTAGAGTTCTTGAGCACTTCCTTTCCCACCTGGCCCATGGGTTTGAGCAGGGTCTGCACTCCAGAGCCCCAGAAGTTAAGACCAGACCTTCCTTGAGACTATAGATTCCCTGTTTCCTCTTCTCAGATGTAGGCCTGGTGTGGTATAGCCATTTCTGTTCACTGGAGAGGGTGACTCGGTTCCCCCAGTTCCTGCTCAACTGCCCATAGAGCTATATATCTGAAAAGCCTGGAAAACCACCCCGCAGTCTTCCCTAAACCAACTTTCTTTCCCTTGGCTATCAAGAAATCATGGAGGCTTGCTGAACAATGCCAACTTAATCCCCTGACTTCCAGTCTCCATCTGGAAGGGAAGGCCCGCCAATTGTAGTCTCAATGAATGATAATCCTTGACCGAAGAGGGCTTGAAAGCTAGTGGGTCGCATTGCCTTCTGTTATTTAGTTAAGCATCTCAGATGCAGTCAGAGGACACACATGTTTCTCATCCCCATTTTATAAATGAGGAAACCGAGGCCAGAGAAGATAAATAAAAAAAAAAAAATGAGCCGTACTAATCTAAGCATTTAAGTGATTTTTATTTACTGCTCACAGACGACCAAGGAGGAGGGCACAGTTGGGTATATTATATACCTGTTTTGCAGATGAAGAAGTGCATCAAGAGGATTGGTTGGCTGACCCAAGGTTACCCTCCCCGCAGGGAGGTAGTAGAACAGGGCTTAAGCTGTGTGCCTCAAATGCTCATCCTCTCATCCTCTATGCTGTATTTTTTTAAAGACTCATATGGGGAAGGGCAGGCCATGGGTAGAGCTGCATCCTCATGCGGACAAGAGTAGATGGTGAGTTTTACAATGGACAAGGCTACTCCAGAGCTGGAGTAGGAACCATCAGAGGGCAGTGGTTCTAGAGCAGCCCTGATGCCAGCTCTGGCTTCTCCCATTTCTAGTTTTGGGTAAATCTAGTTTGGGTTTAGCTGGACCTTGAACTTCACTCAGACTTTGTTTTGGAAAATGGAAATATAAAATAGAAATATATAAAACCTGGGTTTTTTTTTTCCCCCATCCAGTCAGTAAGGCAAGGAAGTGAAAGGTTTTCTATCCCTAACAGTAGAGAGAAAGGTGAGGCCTGGAAGGTCAGGTACCAGGTGAGTCCCAGGACTCTCAGCCTGGGATCCAGCGGAGGACGCCTGACCAGTGTTCAGTCCCACAGAGTCGGGGCTGGGTTTCTGCAGGAGTGAGACTGAGTACTATATCTGGCTTGTTTATTGACAGACGTGAGAGCAGAGGTCCCTGTTCAGACGGAACTCCACGTGCCCGGCATGCCAGGAAGCGGCAGGAAAAGGCCATCGTAAGTGATCTCTGGGGTCTCTGGGCCTAGAGCAGATGGGGGCAAGGCAGGGACATCAGGAAATGCTAAGCCCACCAGCCTTCTACCTCTGCCTAGGGAATAATGGACCGTAGCCTGCATGGAGGACATAACTAGGTGTCTTATTTGAAAATAACAAGGGTAGGCAAAAGCCACTAAAGGTAGAACCATGAAAAGCCAGCACTTGAGTGACCTTGGTATATAGACAGAAGGTGGTGGAGGTCAAGTAGAGATAGGCTGGGCAGACCAGGTCACAGGCTGTACCTTTTGTGTGTCCTTGGACAGTGGACAGTGTCCTTGAGCCTCACTTTATTCGTCTGGACACAGGAGAATAGGGCCTTCTGCTTCATAAGGGTCCTTTAATAGGGCGATTCCATCTTCCAAACACCTGGAGGATCCTTTTAGAGCCTGTCCCTAGATGCCAGGGCTGCCCACAAAGCTGCTTTGGGAGCCTGCCAGTTACATCATCGCCCTAGAAAGGAGGGAGGAGAGGTATAACAGAAACAGGACTAGCAGCCTCCCTGGTCGCCATGCTTCGGAAGGTGAGTGTGTGGGTGCACAGGCTGTGCAACAGGTACTTAAGACTACAGGTAAAGCCAGGCGCTCAGGAGGCAGAGACAGGCAGATTTCTGGGAGTTCAAGGCCAGCCTGGTCTACAGAGCAAGTTCCAGGACATCCAGAGCTGTTACACAGAGAAACCCTGTCTCAAAACAAAGATCAAAACAACAACAACAACAACAACAACAACAACAAATTACAGGTAAATCCAGGCATGGTGATATATGCTTTTAATCCCAGCGCTCGGGAGGCAGAGGCAGGCCAATCTCTGTGAGTTCGAGGCCAGCCTGGTCTAGAAGAGCTAGTTCTCCAAAGCTACAGAGAAATCCTGTCTTGAAAACAAAACAAAACAAAACAAAAAAATAAACAAAAACCAAAACCAACCGGTTTGTAGGGGTCAGAGGACACCAGGAGGAGAGATGGTGAGAGCCACCATTTTATCTTTTATAAAACCTCTCTCTGACTCCAGCAATGTTGCTGCTCAGCCAGGCCTAGACAGAGACTTCATGAGAATAATAACGGGCTTCCTCCCCATCCTCCTCCTTGAGCAGGGCGAAGGCCGCGTGGTATACATTCGAAATCTCTCCAGTGACATGAGTTCTCGGGAACTGAAGAAGCGCTTCGAGGTGTTCGGTGAGATTGTAGAGTGCCAGGTGCTGACGAGAAGTAAGAGGTGAGTTAGGACCAGCTGTTCCGAGAGGGATGGGGGTGGGAGAAGGGCCATGATGAACCCTGCTGACACGTGACCCAGTGCCAGCTCATTTCCGTGCTTTCTGTCAACTCAGCACCTGGTACTACCAAAACCCTGCTTTCCTTTCTGGATGAGCTCTGACAAGTTGTCAGGAAAGAGCTGAAGCCCCTGGGCTTGTCAAGGCCTCTGTGCAGACAACCATGTGGGCCACGAAATGCCCTTAGACACTTTGAAGATGCTCTTGTTTGGTGACCTCACTGTGGCACATCTCTATGTTACTCACCAGCCTCCCTTCCTCTACAGCAAGTCCTGGGGCTGCAGTCTGCTAAGCAACCCTGGCTTGTCCTCATGTACCTAGGGGAGCAGATGTTTATCTGGAAGGGAATCCACAAAAGCTAAGTTGCCTAAAAAATAAACGTTTGCTATAGATGCCACAGATTTGTTGATTGAAAAGTATTGCCAAATTATCTGCTATCATGCCTGCAAAGTAGGTTATTAGGAGTTTTAAATTCCTATTTAACAATAATCATAATAAAATGTGTCACCCAGAAAGTCTTCTCTTGTGTAATGGTCATTCCATACCTTGTCTCCATTTTTTTTATTTTATTTTATTTTATTTTTTGGTTTTTCGAGACAGGGTTTCTCTGTGGCTTTGGAACCTGTCCTGGAACTAGCTCTGTAGACCAGGCTGGTCTCAAACTCACAGAGATCCGCCTGCCTTTGCCTCCCAAGTGCTGGGATTAAAGGCATGTACCACCACCGCCCAGCTACCTTGTCTCCATTTTGATGGCTACTGATCTAGTTCGCTTTCCCTTGCTAGCTAAACACTGTGACCTAAAGGGAAGGGTTTATTTCTGCTTACTGCTTACTCTATCATGAAAGGAACTCAAGGCAGGAACTGAAGCAGAGGCCATGGGTGAGTGCTTCTCATTACACTTGTTCCCCATGGCTTGTTCAGTCTGTTTTCTTATATAATCCAGGAGCACCAGCCCCCGAGTGGTGCCACCCACAATAGAATGAGTCCTTCCACATCAATCATCGATCAAGAAAATGCCCAACAGGCCAGTTTGATGGAGGTGGTTCCTTCATTGAGGTTCTCTCTTCCCACATGACTCTAGTTGACAGGAACTAACCAGCATACTACTATTAAAATATAAATAAAGTAGAGCTGGGAAGGATGTGGGGAAAATGAAACCCACGTGTCTTAATTCAGATGTCTACTGCTGTGAAGAGACGCCATGACCACAGCAACTCTAATAAAGGAAAGCATTTATTTGGGACTGACTTACAGTTTCAGAGGTTTCATAGCGGGACATGGTAGCGTGCGGCAGACATGGCGTTATAGAAGTTGAGAGTTCTACATCTGAATCTGCAGGCAGCAGGAAGAGCAACTGAGGCAACATGGTCTAGCTTGAGCATCTGAGATCGCAAAACCCACCCCAGTGACACACTTTCTTCAACAAAGCCACACCTCCCAATAGTGCCACTCCCTAGGGGCCAAACATTCAAACCCTTGAGTCTATAGGGAGCCATACCCATTCAAATCACCACATTCCACTCCCAGGCCCTCATAGGCTTTTATCCATAACATAATGCAAAATGCATTTAGTCCAACTTCAAAAGTCCCCACAGTCTACATCGTCTCAACAATATTTAAAAGTCCAAAGTTCAAAGTCTCTTCTGAGATTTATGCAGTTTCTTAACTATAATCCTCTGTTAAATGAAAAATTTAAAAAGGGATCACTACTTCCAACATAGAGTGGCACCGGATATACATTACCATTCCAAAATGGAGGAAAGGGAGCATAGTAAGGAAATACTGCAAGTAAGCAAGACCAAAACGCAGCTGGGCAAACTCCAAATTCTGCACCTCCATGTCTGATGTAGAAGCACTCTTCAGATCTCCCAACTCCAGTCAGCCTTGTTGACAACACACTTCTCTCTCTTGGCCTGGTTCCACTCCCTGTTAGCAGCTCTCCTTGGCAGGTATCCCATGGATCTAGCATCTCCAACATCTTGGGGTCTCCAAGGCAACCCAGGCTTCACCCTCACAGCTTCACACCATGGCCTCATGCCCCTCATTCATGAGAAGGCATGCGGCATGGTTTTCCGCTCCTCATCTTATGATTCGTGCTCTTTTGACGTCCACCAGAGTGGCCTAGAAACACCCTCTCTTACCCTATCCTCTTCTTCCAGAGGTGAGAAGCACGGCGTCATCACCTTCCGGTGTTCGGAGCATGCTGCCCTGTCCCTGAGGAACGGCGCAACCCTGAGGAAGCGCAACGAGCCCTCCTTCCACCTGAGCTATGGAGGACTCCGGCACTTCCGCTGGCCCAGATACACTGACTACGGTAAGAGAGAAAAATCTTAACTGTATTCTAGTGAGTCCCAGAACATGAGGCACAATGCCTTCCTTTAATGACACCTAGACTGAAGGCCCCTCGGAACATGGCCCTAAGTCAAGCTCCTGTCCATTGTTACTCTGCAGCCGCTTTGTCTGTGGCTGCCATGTTGCTTTTGTTCTGGCCTCTGGACCTGTGAATGACTCTCACCACAACAGTCACCTTCCTGCTCTTACAGGAAGGAACAGTCGTGCCCTTAGCCGCTCAGCAGCACCATGGCTGGCCTACCTTTTTACAGTCACTCCGTGGTGACCCTTGAACAGGCAGCAGCTTTGCTGTTAATAGGTGACAGTGTGTCTGAACCGTCATCATGCCCTTGCTGTTTGTGTACAAGTTGGTGAAATCCCAAGAAGCATGACTTGTGAAAGAATTACTCGTAGAGGAGAACCCATGGTAGCCCTCAAGATGCAGCATTGAGTATCAGGAGAGCTAGGTGGGTCCCAGGTCAGGTGACACTCCACCTGACTGCAGTCCACTATGAGACTGTTTCGCCATCTGAATGAGGTAGGTTTATTAGCATTCTTCTGTGAATGACTAGCAACACTGTATCGTGTTACTAATCGTGGTACTAGTTGGTGGGTCAGAGTAGTAACAGTGTTGCTAGCTGGAACTGAGAACTCACAGTGTTACTAGTTGGTGGAGGGTCAAGTTGAGGTAAGTCCATTTCTAAGAAGTTGGCAGGAAACGAGTTGTAGGGTGTTCTCTTCAGGGACCCATTGCTCTACAGCAGGGCTACTGAAGCCGTGGGATCTTGTCAACATGGAAGAAAGGTCACAACAGGATGACGGTTGATACTGTGGTAATACCCATTCCTGCACTGTGACGCGGCCCGCCCTCAGTGGCAGGTTTGCTGGTTGGGACTGAGTTTCTCACCAACCTTACCTCTCACCAACCCACAGATCCCACATCAGAAGAGGCCCTTCCCTCATCCGGGAAAAGCAAGTATGAAGCCATGGATTTTGACAGCTTACTGAAAGAGGCCCAGCAGAGCCTGCATTGATATCAGCCTTAACCTTCGAGGAATACCTCAATACCTCAGACAAGGCCCTTCCAATATGTTTACGTTTTCAAAGAAATAAGTATATGAGAAGGAGAGCGAGCCAATGAGCGAGCGTGAGAGAACACACGTGAGAGAGAGAGAGAGAGACTTGAATCTGCTGTTGTTTCCTTTTAAAAACAAATCAATGTTTACATTGAACAAAGCTGCTTCCGTCCGTGAGTTTCCATGGCGTTGATGTTCCACTGCCACATTAGTGCCCTCGCTTCCAGCGGATCGTCCTGGGTGCACCTCCAAGTGCTGTCAATCATCCTCTGCCCGTCCCACCTGATTGACTTCCTTCTGTAGACTTGAGCTATGTCCCCCATAACATCTTCTGTCTGTAGCGTATGATGATGAAATTGTTACTTGTGAGTAGAATCAGGATTAGAAACTCATTTTTAATTGAAGAAAAAAAAAGTATATCCTTAAAACAAATGTATTTATGGCTCAGATATACTGTGCCTGGGGTTATCGTATTGCTTCCTCGATTGTTTAACTATGCACTGTCATGAGGTGTTTGCTACTGAGCTGCGCTGCTCCCCTGGTCGTGTAGTCCTAGAGGTGCTGGGTGGCCACTACGTCCGCAGGAAAAATTGGCTTGCAGTCACAAGTAGGAAGAATGGAGAGAGGTAGCAGCCAAGTATGCTCTACCGAGCCCTGGTTGGTATCTTTTATTTTGAGTGAGTTCCACTCAAGTTGTGATGAGAATCCCTTCCCCCTGTCCGACTCACACTTGGAGAGTGCCTGTCTGGAGAGCCCAGAGCCGTGAGTGTCTATAAGGAAGGTGGAACAAGCTGCATTAGACCCATTCCACAGGGAGAGAGGACAGCACTCTGTGAGGGAAAGTATCTTGCCCAGGGTCCCAGGTCCCATGGCCAGGGAGCATGCAAAGCAGTGACCTACACCAAGCCTCCTGACTCCGGGCTCCAGCCTCCTGCAGCAGTTAGCATAAAGATGCAAAAGTCAGAGGCTGGAAGAGTGGAGTTAGCTGAGTTGAGCAGCCTAGCAGCTTATTTGAGAATTAGGTCAACCGTTTACTCATCAGCATTAAGGCAAATTCAAGGTTCATTCAGCACAGGCTCAGGTGTCCCTCAGCTTTGGTCCTCAGTGCCCTGTGACTTGCCCTGCCTGTGGATACCCCTCAAGGCTCTGAGACACCCACAAATGGTACACAGACTTCACGTAGGAGCAGCCATTTGGGGCAGGGAGGGCAACTGCTAGACCATCCTCTACCCTGCTGCTGTCCTTACTGTCCCTCCTCTGTAGAGGTACAGGGTAGGGGGTGGGCACGGCACCCCCACGGAGCGTTCATGGTGGGCTCCTCTTCAAACCGTTATGACTGCTGTTAAAGTCATATCCAGTGTGACATCCTCTGGGCCCCTGGGGGCCCTTCATGAGGGAGAACCAGCTAGGCAGAGTATTCATTCTAATGCTTCATTATATATCAGTTAGTTCCTCCTTGATCTTGTGACATTTCTTTCTTTCATTTTCCCCCCAAGGTTCTGCCAAGTAAGAAAGTTTGAAGGTAGATAACTCATCAAACTAACCAAACTAAATTAATCTGCTGCTAATGCCAGGCTTATTCCTTTGAAAATTTGTGGTTATTTTTTTTTTGTTTTATTTTTTTTGATTTTCAAATACCTCAGTAAAGAAAGTAAAGCCTGATCTTATACTTGGTGTTGGGAAAACTCTTCACCCATGGATAGGGCTGGAAGAGACTAGCTTTAGCAGAACTAGGGAAACAGGATCTGGGTGTCCAATCTGTTGGCCTCCCTAAACCCCAGTTTCCTTTTCTGTGAAATAGACTGAGGGGCACAATTAGGCAGCAGATGTCCTAGCTTCTGCCTAGGCAATGTCTAGTCACAGTCGTGATTCCCACATCTTTGGTCAGTGCAGAAATACTTAATTGATCATAACACTATTTTTTAAAGCCTGGTTGTGCAATTAGAATCTTCAAGAGTGTTCTCTCTGGTCAGGCATTACTAATTGGTTGATGTTTCATTTATCAGACATCCTGATCTAGTGGTAGTCTTTGGAAAACTACCATTGTAGAGCCATATGCTGGCTGGTTTTTATGCTGACCCATCCTTGTCCTGACTTGATCCCTGAGGGGAGATATGCCCTTGAAGCCATTACTTGGCAGAAGACTTCCCAATACTGTTGCAAAAAAAAAAAAAAAAAAAAAAAAAAAAAAAAAAAAAAAANAAAAAAAAAAAAAAAAAAAAAAAAAAAAAAAAAAAAAAACCACAAGAATATAGAGAGGGGAAGGTGAAATAGCAAAGAGGAATATAATTGGAGAAGGGGTGGCTCCTAAGGATAGATACAAAAAGGGACTTTTCACAGCACAGACCCAAACATTCCACACTCCTTTATAGTTGTTCATTGCTCAGCATATGGTGGGCACGTGGAAAATGGGTATAGAATGGAACCAAATTAAAGTTCTTCAGTTGCATCCACTAAAACTTGGGCTCTAATCACGGGAGAAAGTGAGTGTTTACTGACATTGCCTGATGGAAGAGGGACTAGATTTAATCTGAAGAGCCATTTGAATTCTGACCCCACCAAGAACTTCTCTTGTGGTTTCTTGAGTCCCTTCTTTCTGGGCCTCAGAGTGTAGGAGTTGTTTAGAAAACCCTGGGCTCTTCCTATTTGCTTCCACAGTGAGACCTGGCCAGCTGTTGGTTGCTGGGGTAAAAGAACAAATTCTTAGCAAACAATTAAGTCTCTCTTTCCCCAGCCAGGGTTAACTGAGCTACTCAGTCAGTTCCCTCAAAGTCACTTAGATGTCGGCTCTAGAGCAGAGCAGAGCCTTGAACCTGGCACTGATGCCCAATATACCACAGGTCAATGCTGGGAGCTGATGCCCGCCAAGAGTTTCTAGTATTCTCCACTCACCCGCTCATGAAACCAGGCTCCCAGCTCTGCAGAGACCAGCCCTGTAGATGATCTCTCTCTCTGGAAGATTCACTCGGTGCTGCATATAATTTACCAAGGAGATGGTCAGGCCCCCTCCGAGACCACGAGACCATCTTGGTCTCTTTCCCATCGAATCAAGGAGGAACCCAGAGGGAGCAGCTGCTACTTAGTGGCAACCATCTCACTGTAGCTGTTCTAATGCGTCTCAATGATGTATGTTTACGTGTGATCGCCATTCAGGCTCCGTGTCATCTCTGTGCTGTGCTGGTATTTTTATAGAAATGTCCAATCCAACCACTAAGTGGAATTTTTCCATCTCCTTCCTCGGCCAGTACAAGGCTGAACCACAGTCCTATGGAGTGGGGGTAGGACATGACTCTGGTTACGGAAGGAGAATGTATCAACTAGGTGATGTGAGAAGAAGGAATGCAGCTAAGGTCCCTACTCCCATCCCCCTGACATGCATTGTGGCTCCCACTCGAAAAATGCTTTGAGTCAGGAAGTGCCCATCCTATGCCTGTGTTTATCTGTTGGTCTTGTATCATCTGATGGATAGCAAGCCTCCAGGGGTGGGAGGAGTGCTCCGCGCCAGCCGCAAAGACTTAAATCCCTCAAATCCTAATGTGGTAAGACTTTTACAGTAAGATGTCTTCTGTGACCTCAAGCCTTCGAGGTCAGTGTTTTGGGGGAAGATGTGAGGCCACTGCCGAGGCCACGGTGCAGGTAGTAAATGGAGAGAAAATGCAGACAGCTCTTTGGGCATGCGCATGCGCAGCCAGCTCTAGTCCGGGTCTGTCCCAGCCCTTGAGTTCAATTCGCCTCTCAGCGGATCCCGCTGCTGCAGAAGCAGGGTACCTCTCTCTGTACCCGGGTCACCCTAGAGGGGGTGTGATGTTATTCACTGAGGTCAAAAGTATTTTTCTTGACATTTGCTCTTCAGCGATTGAGATCAGCTTGAGAAAGCCATATCCCAGGATCACGTGTGGAAAGGGATTGGGTGTGTCGTCGTAAATAGAGTGAACCTGTTGGTGTTATTAGCCAAAGAAAAAGGGATGCCTTCATCCTTCCCACTGCGGCAGAAGGAAACGAACCAGTACTTACGTGCAATATGTTGACGCTACTCTCCAAATCCCTGAGGGTTTTGCACTCGGGCGAGCTCCAGGGCTGTTTGAAGAGTCTGGGGATACAGGGTAAGCGCAGGGAGAGCCTGGGATAAAAACGTTCACGCGCAGAAATGGCCTTGACCTAGAACAGATGGGAGTGTGGGCGGGGCGCTAGCTGCTGGCCTGGACATCCGGGACATCCGGGAAGTAGCTAGTCAGACACTTGCACTAGTTAATGAAAGCACTTTCAGAAACCTGACACTTCCGCCTTGTTCCACATTCTCCTCTGGCAAATATGTGTACCCTTTATCTGTGTGAGGTGCTGTCCTAAAGGCTGGGTGAAGGGATGGGGGCGGGGGCCAGTGTGAGAAAGAAAATGGGCATCTTTCAAGGCAGTAGCAGCCTTGAGAGAGTCTGTACCTAGCCAGTCCTTGGCTGTCCTCTTCACTGGAAGCCCAAGAAACAGAATGATATGGGTTTATATCTTGGTACCCACTTTTGTAAAGACAAAAAAAAAAAAAACAGCTTAGCCAATTGCAACACTTTGTGGCGCAATCATTTCACTCTAAGTTTCTTACTTGCTGTCTGACCTTTGGCCCTTGTTCCCTGAGCTAGCAAATGAAGCTATCCAGTGATAACAGCATTCTCATCCTGGAGCCAGGGAGGGCCCAGAGTTCCACTCTCTGGCTAGCTCAGGGTATGTATTGGGGGCAGGGGTGAGGCACTTTCCACAAGGTCGTCAGCCTCCAACAGGGTGAGATTCACATAGTCCTGGCTGAGGTGCCTAACATGAAGAGGCTAGCTTACCAGGACAGACCCAAGCCATAGTTCCTTGTGGGGATGGTAAGGAATAAACCCTTCATAGGGCTCGTTGACAACTTCCAGTCTTGCGTTTTAGCCTTGTCGTCATCCCCACCGAACAGCTTTTAATCTGAATGTTGTGACCACTTGGCCGTCTCTTGCTTGCTTGCAGACAATACTAGCAATACACTTGTTTCCCCAAACAGCTCAGCTTAGACAGTTTTCACACATTGCTTTCCAGTGATTGTAAAAACACATGGGGCAACAGGAGGCATGGATCACACTGCATATGTTTAGGGCAGCTTTCGTTTTTTTTGAATCTTTAATGGTATAGCAGCAGTGACCAAGCCTTTGGGATTTGGGGAGACAGATCTTCACGAAGCCATTTCATCAGGATGCCTTGCACGTCAGAAGGAGTACGGACATCCCAATACCCAAATGGAGGGGCTTGCAACCTATGATTTTTGTAGATGATCTGTCTCTACCGTATAACAGCTCCTCTGAAAGGTATTCATGTGGCTCCAACCCCTCTGTGCCATATTTTTTTTTTTTGTCAAAGGATTCTTCAAGGAAGCCTCAGCAAGCCTCCTTGCTCCCTTTCGCTGGCCTTGGGTAGTGTCCTTGTGGAGGGAATTAGCCAGCGCTTTGCCTTATCAATGTGTGGTCACTAGTCTAGTGGTCAAAGACTGGTGTCCACTTGCCACCAAGATGGAAGGCAAAACTAAGGTCTTTTGATCAGTCACCATGGCGGCCAACATCAGCTTGGCAATGAAACACAATGATACAAATGAGTTGTCTTACTTGTTCAGTACCAACTCGGAACATCAGCAACTACTTAGATGCCTATACAGTGCGGAAAATGCACTGGTTTTCCTGTGGTAGAGGAGATGGGGGTTGAACCCTGTGTCCAGCTGTCCGGAGTGGTTTACTCTAACTGCAATACTGGCAGCCAAGCTGCCAACCCTGTTAAGTGAACCTCTGCTAGGTAGCTTACATGGTACCTTTGGGACAAACAAAGAAATTGGGTATGAGGATTGGGGGAGAAGGGGCCCTGGCCATGACCTTTGATATGGTCCACTGAATAGCCAAACAGGTTTTTGTTGTTGTTGTTGTTGTTCTTGTTTTTGTTTTAATTTTTCTGTATTTTGTATTTTAAAATCTTGTCAGGCGTTTTTGTGTTAGGAATAATAAGTCATAAATTATTCCCACCTTGGTTTCTGAAGGGGTGTTCTGATTCCAATTGAAACAGGTTGGAAATCTCATGGGGAGCATGGTCTGGGGAGTACATGGGATGGGGCAGTGGAGTGCTTGGGTTTCCAGGTGGTTGCTGGGGAAGATGATCCCCACCCCCCCCCACCCCGACAGTCTGCAGTGCTGTCCACTACAGAGGTTCACGCTTGCCTCCTTGGCTCCTGAGTCCTGTTAGCTTCTATGAGAAGCAGCTGCTGAGATTGAAGACAAGACTCCCTAGCTCCCAAGCCCTAGTCAGGAGATGCAGTCAATAGCTAGCCTTAATCGACTGGGCAAGGTAGTTCCTGTGCTCCCTCCCCGCAGTTCCAAATCTTGGACTCAAAACCCTTTTCTCTTAGTGTGACCTAGTGTGACCAGCAGCCTAGAGAATTTTGAGCAATAGGGAGCCAGGGCTTTCCCTGGCTCTGTGACAGGGTCAAACCAGGGAATGGCTAAACTTGAGAGGTTTTGTCATACCCAGGGTTCTACTGTAGGGGGGCATTATGTATTAGGGAGCTCAACAAGGTAACTGTAGCCTGGGGTATGTGAATGTAAGGTTGTGTTTGTGGGTGCGTGTGCGTGTGTGCGCGTGTGCGTGAGTGTGTGTGTGTGTTACATTGATGCATTTCTTGAGAAAGGTGCAAGAACTTCACCTATACAGTGGGACACATCTGCTTTATTATTTATAAATAGAAGCTAAAATTTAATTTTTTAAAGGACACTGCTAATGATTGAAAATCGAGTTTTTAGTTTTGCTATTTTTTTTAATTGGTAGAAGATTTTTATATATTTTTTTCCCATTTCGTTGGGTGTGTCCTTATTTATATAAATACTTTATCCGTGAGCAGCGAGGAAGAAGACTTCTTTGCTCTTAATTATTGTGGTTGTCATTGTCCCTATTTTATTTCCGGTGTGATTTATCTGTCTTACCTTCTAAATGAGAAACTGTTTTCCTGTCTTTGTACATTGTCAGAGTCTATAGTTTCGTAGATAATTTAACCAAATTGCTCTACGTATTATTATTCTGTGACTATAAAGTTCTATTTTAACGTCTGTAAATACTTCAGAACTGGTTTCTTTTCTCGGCCCCTGCTGGGACCTATTGTTTACATCACAAAAGACTGTAGAATCTCTATGCTCATGTACTGTAAATAGTGACGTGATCTGCTTATATATAAACTGAACAAATACACTATGGAAATTAAAAAACACCACCCACAGTCCTGCCCAGGGGTGTCTTTCTTTATTGGTCTTGTGAACTCATTGGGGGGGGGAGGTAACGGGGCGGGGGGGGGGGGGGGGAGGCGGACAACAACCAACACTCTATTTGGCAAGTGAAGGAGAGAATCCAGATCCAGTTTTGCCTCAGAAAAAGTCCTGGCCAATGTTGGATTTTTTTTTTTTTTTTTTTTTTTTTTTTTTTTTGTCTGGTTGGTTGGTTGGTTTTATGCTGGGAATTGAGTCAAAGGTCTTGTGTGTTGGTACCATGGTGTTAGGCCCCCTATACCTTCTTATTTTCCTCTTGAGACTGAGTCTCACTAAGTTGCCCAGTCTAGTTCAGAACTCACTGTGTAGCTCAAGTTGACCTCAAACTGATAATCCTCCTGCCTCATCCTTGTGACTAGTAGGAGTATAGTTAGAACCATACTGGGTCCCAGCCAAAGGCTGCTCTCCCAACCTCATCAGATATAATGACAAAAATCAAGTCCTTTTAGTATCTATTAACTTAGGAGAACACTAGCTTCTAGTAGCCAAGAATGTCGTCAGAGGGCATTTCGGCCTGTAGAAAAGATGCTCTCATCTTGTTGTACCTGATTCTCTGATGTGTTTTAAACTTGCCTTGACTTAGGACTCTGTTTGTTCTGTAACACTATAAAAACTTTGTAAAACTGCTTCCATACTGGAACATGAAATTTGGAGTAACCTAAAAACAAAAAGCCAAGCCCAACAGGACTGACCCTGTATGCTCCAGGGCAAATTCTCTTCCAGTAGAGACATCGCTCTTCTCCTTGCTGCTTAGTGACTAAACACAGCACGCTTAGGGACAAGCCTCTGCTGGAAAAGCCAGTGTCCTTAATGCCACTTACAACAGAGCTGAAAACACCCCTCCAGGTTAAAAGATCGGAGCCCAGGCACATCCCGCTCTAACAGAAGGGCAGGACGCATGCTCCCGTGCCCCAGAGAGATCAGCAGTGGAAGTCACAGCCCGTGTGTGCCACAGTTTTCTCTGATCTTGAGCAACTTCTGGAAGAAGGCCAGGGACCTGGGCTGGAACTTGAACCAGACTCCTCCGCTCCCTGGCCTTCAGTTTCCTGCTTTATTTAAAAAGAGCCTTTAGAGTAGGCTTGTGGTCCATAAACAGTTTGAAGGGAGCTACGCACTTCCTTCTCTTTGAGGCAGCTGCTGTAGCTTTGATGGAAGGCCGGTGGCGGGTGTTGTGTGCCACCCTAGAGGGGAGAAAAGATTAACAGAATAGGGGGCAGCGACCCTGTCTTTGCAGTGATAAAAGGGACAGAAATGGGTGCTGACAGGTTACACCAGCTGCCTGTGCCTGCACACAGAGGGGGTGTTGACTAGCCCAGCTAATCTCACAGCTTCTGGGTAGAGCAAGGCATCTATCTCTCTAAGCCTTCAATTTGGCCTTTGTCTGTTAGAGCTTCTATAAGCTGGGAGCGGGGAAACAATCGAAACAAAGTTGCAGTGTGAGCCACAAAGGCAGACATTTTTGACAGTACTTGGTGGATGGACAACTTTGGGGATCTTTTGCTGATTTCATCAGTTTCAACTGTGTGGATGCTAACTCTGCCAGGCATTGCTGGCATACTTAGATGTGGTCCGTTTTTAAGTCAAAAGGGCCTGTTGAACGGAAGATCGCCAACTGAAATCAATGGAAAATTCAAGAATAAAAAGTAGATCTTAAGTAAAAGGAAACTAGCAAAAAGAAACAGGATGACTAATTCAATATATGAAAATTGGATTAAGCTGAAGCACACCATCACTTTATTTTCTGTTATGTGTGTAGTGTGTGTGTGCTCGTGTGTTGTGCTAGTGAAAGTAGGTTCTAGGACAGCACTCGTGTCATCAGGCCTAGGAGGAGGAGCCTTTACCTGCTAAGTCATCATGTTGACCCCTAAACTCTTATGATTTTTGCCCTTGTTCTTTGGTTTTGTTTGAGACAAAGTCTCACACTGTAGCCCAGCCTGAAACTTTCTGTGTAAACCAGTCTGCCATTGAATTTAGGGCAATGTTCTTGCCTTTGCCTCCTGAGTGCTAGAATTAAATGTATGGTCTACCACACCCAGTACAAACCGTAGGGGGACATTGGTTCAAGGAAACAGACTCTAAATTGATCTCTGTGTATAAGCAGTGATATAAGAGTAGCAAGGGCCTAGGGGCATGGAGCTAAAATGGCCTTGTACAGTTGACCCAGGCTGGGCAATATGGCAGGCTTTTCTACCTCAGGCCTAGGTTCTCTTGAGAAAAGCAGAATATCCTGCAACTACAGAAAGCCCCCACTCCTCCACTTGCAGCTGATCAGAATATATTCCACAGCCAGCATGAAGCCTTCACCTTCTCCATGTGACAGTGTTGTGTTAGAAAAATGTTCTGTCCTTTAAGGCTATGTAACTTTCTCCTTGAGATAAGGTCTAACTGTCTAGTCCAGAACCTCTTAAACTCCTGTTCTTCCTTCCTGCCTCTTTCCTTAGTGCTGGGATTGCATGGGACCTTTAAAGATGCATAACTCCAGCGGGGTGGTGGTGGCGCATGCCTTTAATCCCAACACTGGGGAGGCAGAGGCAAGAACTCTGTGAGTAAGGCCAGCCTCGTCTACAAGAGCTAGTTCCAGGACGTGCTCCAAAGCTACAGAGAAACCCTGTCCCAAACAAACAAACAAACAAACAAACAAAAAATAACTCCTCTAAAGACTATAGAAGACTCCAAAGACACAGAGAAGCCTGTCTCAAAAAAACAAAACAAAAAAAAAAAATAAAGATTATAGAAGAGTGAAATGATACATGTGGAAATTACCTTTAATATTTCAGCTAAGTTGTGGGTAGGAAGGCTGAGAGTTTAAAACAAGCCTAAGCTACATGGTGGGATCCAGGAAGAAATGAAGAAGGGAGGGGGGAAATTTGGAAATGAATGTACAAACACATAAAACAAATCTAACCACAGCTTGATGTTCAAATCTGGGGTTAAGTTTCCATAAACTTATTATATTTGAGATATAACTCTCTATTTTTGAAAATTAGCAAAAAAGTTATGATAAAACCCTAAATTATAAGAACTTACATGAATTAAAGCATTATAAGAACAAAAAATAAAGTAAGTCAATATACAAAGTCTGGAATATAGGGCTAAACTCAATAGACATTTCAGGATTAAAAACAATCTCTAAACCAGGCATGGTGGTACATGCCTTTAATCCCCACACTAGGAGGCAGAGGCAGGTGGGTCTCTGTGAGTTCAAAGCCAGCCTGGTCTACAGAGTGAGTTCCAGGACGGCTAGGGTTACACAACAAGTTCCTGTCTAAAACCAAACATAAAAACAAAACAGCAACAAAAACAATGTCTAAAACCTCTTGATGATATAGATGCCTGCTGTATTTCCCATCAGTTCTCAACTCCTGATTCTTTAACTTTCCAAGAAGATGTATGGCTTTCCACTGGCCTGGGCGGTCTCTTCCTTCTTGAGGGCTGTGCCACCTTCCAGCCGTGCCCTCAGCTACTGGATGCAACAGGACTTGGATGTAGGGGCGCCCCCTGGGTTGGGGTTTCCTCCTGCCTGGTTCCCGGAAGCAGCTGTGCAGGACAGGAAAGCACAAGGCAGGTCAGAGGGAGCTGCAGCAAACGTGCCTTTGACCTGTTTGGATGAAGCTCAAGGCTTGGCGCAAGCAGACCGTGGGGGTGGGGGTGGGGTCAGGAGAAGCAGGGAAACCAGAAGTGCTTCCCCACTGAGAAGTAGCCCAGGGTGACACATGGCAACCATGGCTCGGATGCCTGTATGACACAGGGAGTTGTGGGAACTGACATAGGGGAGAGAACAAGAGAGAAGTTACTGTTTAGTTTTAGCCACTATCATGGAGACATGTCTACTGGTGTGGCCAGATCTGAACTTTTTAAAAAGAAATTGGCAATCTGTTTTTGTTTTGCTTCATTTACATCTTTAAAACATGGACAGCAAATTTATATTTTAAGGACAAGCTCCTGGGCTAGAGGCATAGCTCAGCGACAAAGCTCTTGCTTAGTATTCATTCATTTAGAGTCTTTCCTTGAATCAGTGTCCCCCTATGGTCACCACTCTGTAAGACACTATTTGTACTGGGTGTGGTGGATCACACCTTTAATTCCCGCACTCAGGAGGCAGAGGCGAGAACATTGCCCTAAATTCAACGACAGACTGGTTTACACAGAAAGGTCCAGGCTGGGCTACAGTGTGAGACCTTGTCTCAAACAAAACCAAAGAACAAAAAGGACAAAAACCATAAAAGAGTTTGGGGGCCAACATGATGAATTCCCAGCCCCGCTCTTTTTAAAAAGGAAAAACTGTAGGGTCCTTTGTTTACGTAAACACGGTTTTTGCACTAGCTAAACCCACCCATGAGGGCAGTGTTATATAAGACACTCTGGAGAAATGGCAAGGGTGTCCCCAATCTTTGAAACTGTTCTTTTTAAATCACCCCCAGCCTACCCATAGAAGAACTGGGGACCGACAGTGTCTATGCGGAGAACAGAGGGTCATGTGCTCAGGCAATCAAACATCGTGTGACAGGGACAAGAAGCCAAGTCCTATGAGGAAGTAGAGCACACAGACAAAGAAATGGCAAGCCTGGCGGGGGTGGGGGTGCCTTGTGAGGGGAACTGGGACAGACAAATTCCATTTGAAGCTAGGGTCAGTTGTATGCTCTGGTTTCTTGATGTCTCTGCTCCACCCTGACTAACTTCTCTTCTGGCACACAAGGTCTGGCTGTCTCTCTGTCTCTCTATCTCTCCCTCCCTCTGGTTGTATGTATTAGTTGGAGGCATGTGGCACCACATGCCACAGCCCATGTGGTGGTCAGAGGACCACTTTCAGGAGTCAGTTCTTCCCTTCCACCTACTGAGGCAAGGTCTCTTGTTTCTGCGGGGATTACAAGCATATGTTTTTATGCTCAGTCGTATTTCACTAGTAGTATACAAGCCAAACCTCATGGTGGCAAAGCTAGGATTCAAATAAACA